AGAGAGTGCAAGAGAGTGAGAGAGTGCAAGAGTGAGAGTGAGAGAGTGCAAGAGAGTGAGTGAGCAAGAGAGTGCATGAAGACAGGAGCTCTGTAACTTGTATTCACTGATTTACTTTTAAATACTGGTAGTATTTAGTTACAGTAATTATTTCTTTACTTATTCAGTGACAGTAGTTATTATTTATTTATTTAGCATATCGCATTCATATTTAACTTACAATATTTTTGACTAACGATGGATTTGTTGGAATACAACCCCATTGTAAGTCAAGAAGCACCTATATAATAATAAAAATAACAACTGATGTTTTCATTATCTTTTACAGTCAAACTTGAATTAGTAACGATAAACTTTTTGCTGATGATACATACTGTGCTTTTGGGAGATTCTAAAGAAAAGTTGCAAGGGTTAGTGGATGAGTTTGGGAGGGTGTGTTAAGGTAAAAAGTTGAAAGTGAACATAGATAAGAGTGAGGAGACGAGGGTATCAAACGATTTAGATAAAGAAAAATTGGGTATCACACTGGAGGGAGGGAGTATGGAAGAAGTGAATGTTTTCAGATAAACTTGGGAGTTGATTTATCAGCGGATGGGTTTATGAAGGATGAGGTAAACCACAGAAATGATGAAAGAAAAAAGGTGAGTAGTGTATTGAGGTTTCTGTGGAGACAAAGAACGTTACCCATGGAGGCAAAGAAGGGAATGTACAAGTGTATAGTGGTACCAACACTCTTATGTGGGCGTGAAGCTTGGGTTGTAAATGCTGCAGTGAGGAGGTTGGAGGCAGTGATGTCGTGCCTAATGGCAATATGTGATGTAAATATTATGCAGAGAATTCAGTGTGGAAATTAGGAGGTGTGGAGTTACTAAAAGTATTAGTCAGAGGGCTGAAGAAGGCTTGTTGAGGTGGTTAGGTCATTTAGAGAGAATGGAATAAAGTAGAATGACTTGGAGAGCATATATATCTGTAAGGAAGGAAGGCAGGGTAGGGGTTGTCCCCAAAAGGCTAGAAGGAGGGGGTAAAGGAGGTTTTGTGGGCAAGGGGCTTAGATTTCCAGCAAGCGTGTTAGGTAGGACTGAATGGAGATGAATGGTTTTTGAGACCTGATGAGCTGTTGGTGTGTGAGCAGGGTAATATTTTGTGAAGGGATTCAGGGAAACCAATTAGCTGGACTTAAGTCCTGGAAATGGGAAGTACAATGCCTGCACTTTAAAGGAGGGGGCAGTTTAGAGGGACGTCTAAGCTGTCGTATCTGAGTGCCTTTGCAAAAAGTGATTATGTTTGAGTGATGGTGCAAGTGTTTAATGATGATTAAAGTTTTTTCTTTCTTTTTGGGTCACCCTGCCTTGGTGAGAAACAGATGACGTGTTAAAAAAAAAAAAGATGACTTCATACTCATCGCCAAAATGGAACTACTATATCTGAAATATAAAGTTAAAGGCTCTCACACAAGCACATGCACATACTTGTGCAGCAATTATATATATGACTTCTTAAAATTGCATGCAACTGCAAGCAAAATGATTTACAGAGAAAATGATTTATAGAGAAATAAAAAATAAAGTACAGAAAACAGAGACATGATCAACATGAACTTTACAAATATTTAAGTAAAATTTTCTACAGCAAATTTTAAGACAATTGCAGTGAGGAACTTTGTTGACATGTTTTGCCTGTTCTTCTCTGTAATTGTGTCATTTATCACCACTTGTCGTGATCAAGGTCCCAGGACCAAAGTGTTTTTAATAAAATGTGCTAGTGTTTGCATTTTTTTTTTTTCCCAACAACCATCCAGTCATATACAATATCATTCGGTGTCAGCATTTAAAGGAACCATCACTTGTGTCACATGACATTTTAAATGCCGATTATAATTAGCCTTGGTTGTAAAAGCTTTGCCACATGACTTACACTGATGGGGTCTTTCACCAGTGTGTGTTCGAAGATGCAACTTGTAGTTATAACTTGAGGAAAATGATCTGTCACAAAAGGTGCACGAATGAGGGCGCAAGAGGCGGTGAGTCGTTCGCATGTGGTGGTTGAGATTGGATCGGTAATAAAATGAGGCGTGACATACACTACAGGTATGAGATTTAGTTCCTGCATGACGATGGAGATGATCTTGAAGGTCTGATCGTCTAGCAAGAGTTTTTCCACATACAGGACAAACAGCTCCTCCTTCACCTGTATGATTAGCCATATGAGAATTATAACTTGAGGCTGTTGACAGAGTTTGTCCACAAATTTGACAAGAATATGTTGGACGTTGGCTGTTGTGTGTAAGTAAATGTGATTGTAATCCAGAGGCTTTGCTGAAACCCCGGCCACAGATAGAACACTGATGAGCAAAGCATCCCTCGTGCTCAGCTAAATGTCGCTGGTACAAAGATTCTAGAGCAAATCCTTTGCCACACAATTGACAACTGTGGCTGAACTGACCAGTGCAAGTATCATGATGCGCTTGCATATTACTACGGTGACTAAAACTACGACCACAATTATCACAAGTGAATGGTTTCTCACCAGTGTGAGTCCTCATATGACCCTGCAAATTGCGATTATTAGCAAAAATTTTGGAGCACACATCACACTTATTTGCTTTCTTTTTTTGTGTATGAGTTTTTGTATGTGAAATCAGAGCTTGGAGTGAAGTGCATTCCTTTGAACAAACTTTGCATGTCAAACTCTCTTGTGCATGGTCTTCAAGATGCTTTTTCAGTTTGGCTTTTCTTAGAAAGATAGTGTCACACAATTTACATGGGTAAGTCTTGTGGAGCTGAACATGTCTGGTCAGTGCTCTCTCTGAACTAAACTTCTTTCGACATGTGTCACAACTGAAGTGAAACGCATAAGCTTTGTGCCTACGTTCGATGTGCCTTACAAGTGCTTGACGATTAGAAAACACTTGATCACACTGGCGGCATATCTGTAACTTGGCATGTTTCTTAGCCTTAATATTCTTAGCAAGGAGTGTAGGTTTGTGATACTCGGTAGCATCTGTTTTCCTCGATTCATCGCGAGATACACTCGATGACACAATAGGTGAACTCTCTACTATGTCCTCTACTGGATTCTCTGCTATCGAAAGATTCTTATTGACCTGCTGATCACCAGAGCTCTTTTTTTGACTGTTTGCAACAGTTTCATGGGGAATTTGGTTTGTAATGTCTATCTCTTCTTTTTGCTGTAATTTATTATCAATCGAGTTATCAAGGGATTCTGTAGTTTGGTCACCAACAACTGATTTTACCAATTTTATTTCCTCCTTTTTAGCAACATCTTTACAGCTCTGCAACTCACCATCACTGGCTGCATTTTTTATGGTTACCTGAGATTCCCCAATGAGGTTACACTCACAATCTTCAATGTCAATGTCACAATCAACAAAAACAATATTGTTGTCACCACTGTGTGGCTTAATTAGTGTTTGTTGGGGTGGCTGTGTTTCTAGCAGGTTCACAGTGTGGCTAATTGATTGATTAGATTGTTGAGGTTTCTGATGATGAATAGAAATGGAATGATGGTGATGATGTTGTTGATGATGATGATGTTGGTGTTGTTGCTGTTGGTTTTGTTGCTCTTGTTGCTGATGCTGTTGCTGTTGTTGCTGCTGATGTTGCTGATGCTGCTGATGCTGCTGTTGCTGCTGCTGATGTTGCTGATGCTGCTGTTGATGAGATATATGATGTGTCTGGTGGTGCTGGAGCTGTTGATGCAATGAATGTTGTTGTTGCTGCAAGTGTTGTGATGCAACAGGTATTTGCTGCTGTTGAATGTTTTGAAGGTGATGGCTAGAATGGTGTGAATTAGAGTTATCCTGTTGGTGTTGAAGAATGAGATTTGGTAAGTGCTGTTGTTGAAGTGAGGCCTGGAAGTGAACTATCTGCTGCTGCTGCTGCTGCTGCTGCTGTTGCTGCTGCTGCTGCTGCTGCTGCTGCTGCTGCTGCTGCTGCTGCTGCTGCTGCTGCTGTTGATGATGATGATGATGGTGGTGGTGGTGGTGATGATGATGGCTTTGTTGTGGCTCCTGCTGTGGTTGCTGTTGTGGCTGCTGTTGTGGTTGCTGTTGTGGCTGCTGTTGTGGCTGCTGCTGTGGTTGCTGTTGTGGTTGTTGTTGTGGTTGCTGCTGTTGTGGCTGTTGTTGTGGTTGCTGTTGCTGCTGCTGTGGTTGCTGTTGTGGCTGATGTCGTGGTTGCTGGTGGTGTTGTTGTTGCTGTTGCTGCTGCTGGTGGTGGTGTTGCTGCTGTTGTGTGTTGTTGCTGCTGCTGCTGCTGGTGTTGTTGCTGCTGTTGCTGATGTTGTTGCTGCTGCTGTTGCTGATGTTGGTGTTGCTGCTGCTGCTGTTGTTGTTGCTGCTGCTGGTGGAGTTGCTGTTGTTGTTGTATTTGATGGCGCTGCTTTTGAAAAGTTGCAATTCGAATCCCATGCTTTTCACAATTGGCTTCAACTTTGGTGACAAGATATTTCCTGTCATATAAGGTTACAAAAATAGAAGACATTAAAACAATGAAATAAAAATCAGCAAGTCACACAAATATAGGTGACCACATACCATGACAGTCACAGAATTTTTTCAAGAAAGAAATGGATGGGAAGGTTGTATTGATCTAGATTTTGAAAGTCTTCAATAAAAGAGACTGGAGAATAGTCTAACCAAAATGCACTGCATGTTAGTCCCCTTTTTGTGCCTAACAGTATTTTATTACATGTAAACTACAATACCTGTATATTACAGAAATTATTTGTATTTGACTACAAAATATAAGAGGACTAAAAGGCAAACTACTACAATGAATGAGAGGTGCACTGTAGTACCCTGTTAATGACACTATACAGTGGACCCCCGCATAACGATTACCTCCGAATGCGACCAATTATGTAAGTGTAATTATGTAAGTGCGTTTGTACGTGTATGTTTGGGGGTCTGAAATGGACTAATCTACTTCACAATATTCCTTATGGGAACAAATTCGGTCAGTACTGGCACCTGAACATACTTCTGGAGTGAAAAAATATCGTTAACCGGGGGTCCACTGTACTAGGAAGACATTTTACCTTACAGCAGAGTACTGTACATAAACTTGCCACGTGGCAAGAAATTTCAAAATCTAGATTCATGGGTGAATTGTGCCCTGCATTATAACAAGTTCCTACAATGTTCTATGAACTCTGGGCATTTTAAATCTATAAATACAATTTTGATTTTTTTTAATGCTTTGAAATTTGTTAAACCCTGTATAATGTGACTGTAATTAATATAAGATAATTTTTAATGTTGAAATGTTTATTATTAACAAATCAAATGCAATCAATTTTAAAAAACTTTTTTTTTTTTTTTTTTTTTTTTAACAAGTCGGCCGTCTCCCACCGAGGCAGGGTGACCCAAAAAGAAAGAAAATCCCCAAAAAGAAAATACAGTGGACCCCCGGTTAACGAACTTTTTTCATTCCAGTAGTATGTTCAGGTGCCAGTACTGACCGAATTTTTTCCCATAAGGAATATTGTGAAGTAGATTAGTCCATTTCAGACCCCCAAACATACACGTACAAACGCACTTACATAAATACACTTACATAATTGGTCGCATTTGGAGGTGATCGTTAAGCGGGGGTCCACTGTACTTTCATCATCATTCAACACTTTCACCTCACTCACACATAATCACTGTTTTTGCAGAGGTGCTCAGAACACAACAGTTTAGAAGCATATACATATAAAGATACACAACATATCCCTCCAAACTGCCAATATCCTGAACCCCTCCTTCAGAGTGCAGGCATTGTACTTCCCATTTCCAGGACTCAAGTCCGACTATATAAAAATAACCGGTTTCCCTGAATCCCTTCACTAAATATTACCCTGCTCACACTCCAACAGATCATCAGGTCCCAAATACCATTCGTCTCCACTCTCATATTGAACACGCTCATGCACGCCTGCTGGAAGTCCAAGCCACTCGCCCACAAAACCTCCTTTACCTCTTCCTTTTTTGTGTTCCACTGACACTTAACAATGTGAGGGGTCTAGATCAAAGATCTGAAACTTGTCCACAGGGTCCAAAAATCCCCCCTTCCCCTTTTCAAAAAAAAAAAGAAAATCTTATGGAATGGTAGAGAATCTTTTTATCCAAAGGTAATGACACCAAAGATAAGAAATTTTATATAAAATTTACAGAATTATGCTGGTGCAAAGATAGCAGTCTCGCACCATTTATGCACTGGCGATTTCACCCACTTTAAGTCCAATTTTATGCCAATTCCAGTTCCAGTTGACCAAATTCCGTTATTTTGCTAGTATGCCAACAAGTCTATCGATTGAGTACAAGAAACTGCCCATTCAACTACCCAACAGTGTGATCAGAATTCGGTAAATTGACCAATTTCACACAAAATTAAATAAATGCCAATTTAAAAAAAAGAACAAAACAAATAATGCAGACATTCCTGGCATTAAAATATTTCCTCTGTTCATTAGTCACATCCCAAGCCCTCTATTACACTTGCTTTCCATTCTGAATTCTTATTCATGCAAAAAAAGATTTACTCTATTTCTTGGAAATTAATATATACAGTAGACCCTCATATTACATGGTAGTTATGTTCCTGAAAATGCCATGTTGGATAATTCCAAGTTATATAAGCTGGAGAACTTATGGGAAAAATTGGGTTACATTTCTGGGAATCCCCCCCCCCCCCCCCGAAAAAAAAAGAAGCTAAACAATAAAAATGATAATGTTGTTTTTGTTGCTTAAGACCATAAATGCAGCAGAAATAATATTATTTACCTTAAATCATGGTTGCTGGTGTATGTCAGTGATTATGAAGAGAGTGGAGATGCATGGTGTGGCCCTACTGGGCTTAGGTGGATGGTTGTTGTTTGTTGGCGAAAGTGGATGGTTGAGGATCTGGTACTAAAGTTGATGGCTGTATTGGATTGTGCATAAATTCTGTAATGGCTCTCTGGCTTCTTTTACCCACCAGTACATTATACATTATTCCAGAAGCTTGGTACTGCCAGGTTGGAGTCAGAGTCCATTGATGCAACTAGTTTTTTCATCACTTTTCTTGTGTAGTTACACTTGAATGACTTAATAATTCTCCAATCCAGTGGTTGTATTGAAGATGTTGTATTTGGAGGTAAAAATACAACTTTTACATGTAAAGTCACATCCAGCAAAGCTTCTGGATGAGTATGGGAATTATTGATAGTTGTGACAGAACCCACAGGCATAACACCAGACACAAACATCTCTACGACATTCCCCGTGTCCGACTAAACCTTTACAAAAATTCAATGTATGTCAAAGGCCTTAAAATCTGGAACACCCTACCTGAGAACTCTAGAACTGCAGACACATTCATCACCTTCAAAACTACCATTAGAAAACATCTTATCTCCCTGATACAACCTGTCAACTAATTACACGAATACCACCTGGTGGTTCACACTTACACTCACTCACCCATTTGACCATAAACAGAAATATCAATCTCAATCTTAAAATAATGAATCCTAACTAGTCATAAGTTGGCCTGTGATGCTCCAATACTGAAACTATGTATTGTGCCAAAACAAAAGCATTCACATTGCTAAACTCACAAACTAGTATTTAGTCACTTAGCTATAATACCAACTTACCTCATAATTTGTAATATTTAAAAATTAAGAATTAATCTAAGTCTGCCCAAAATGCCTAGCCATGCTAGGTGTTCTAGTGGCCCCCTCTGTAATTAATATTTTACTACATGTAAACCACACAATAACCAAATTCTGTAAACTCAGCATTGTAATCCTTATAGAGAATAAACTTTGAATTTGAATCAAGAATAAAGAGTCTTGAATGCAAGGTTCTTGCTGTGTAGGTAAAACTTGACCTCAGGAATAAAGTGATGCTTAAACCAATCAATATATATTTCCTCTGTCATCCATGCTGACTGGTTTGACTTCCAAATTACTGATAAGGTGTTTTTATCCATACCTTTCAAAGCACAAAGATGCTAAGAGTGGTAAATAACCATGGGCTTATACTTAAAATCACCTGACACATTACCGCAAAGGAGCAAAGTCAAGCGATCCTTTGCTGCCTTGAAGCCCATGGAGACAGTGGTCTTGCCCACAGCCAGGTGGCAGCCTGAGCTAGGGAAATATCCTGCAGGCGACGCTCCAAATTTTTTTCCCTCCCGCAAACCGAACCACAATTTTTCAATAGCATAATAACCAAAATGTACCAAATAAATCTGTGTAATATGAGGGGTCTACTGTAACCAGGAAAGGTTGTTCATTGTTTACAGCATCCCAATAATTGAATCAGACCTATTAAAAACCATGAACAGACTGGAGGTTGTAGGGGGCTTTACCCATCCTCTGGAATATCAACAAAAAATCAAATATTTCTGCTACTTTGAGCTCAATTTCAAGCTACTTCCACTGCTGACCCCAATCAAAATCCCCTCTATTTTAGTATATGTCTTCTATTCTATTTAATGATATCAAGAAACAGAGAAGAAAACCATAAAAATTATCTGAAAATACACTGCAAAGTTGCTATTTTAAATCATACACACAGTCATCATTCTTTTTCCCATCATGCACTGCATGGGGATGAATATTTTTTATATGGTGCACACTCACTGCAAAGACCCATTCTCTCATATGTAGGCTTACCAGCCCTCTTGCACTAAATCTGAAGCCGCTAGAATTTATGAGTAATACTACGGCTTGGACCCTTAGCTCAAAGCTGTGATATTATGGCACAGACACCCTAAAAAGGTTAAATGCCTCATGGTGGTTCCCGATTCTTTTGCCTTCGGTAAATATTTATAACAATATCTATGTGGCAGTAATATATCTTACCTGTATAGAGAGAAACGATGCTCTAAAATATCAAGTTCATTTATTAAGTGAAAACATTTACTGCATATTATAATGGAGTGAAGAAGATGGCGAGGCAGGACAACACCCATCAACCCTCCCAGCTTGTCTCCAACACTAACCTGTAATACAAGAGTAAAATAAAATTGGGAATGACAACAGAGCATCAGTGAGTGAGCAGAGGCGAAGTATGTATGTACACACATTCAGGTACAGGTACACATAAATACAGTTACATAAATTATCAAACATAGCAGCATATGTGTAGATTATCTAGGATAACCAAAAAAAATGTCAGAGAAAGTGACTTATTATCACTGGGGTCCTCATGAAGGAGGCTAAACACAGCAACCCATTCCGGATCAGCCGGGCTGTGGCTCGTATGTTGGTTTGCGTGCAGCCAGCAGCAACAGCCTGGTTGATCAGGCTCTGATCCACCAGGAGGCCTGGTCTCAGACCGGGCCGCGGGGGCGTTGACCCCCGGAACTCTCTCCAGGTAAACTCCAGGTAACACAGATAGGGCCTCTCATACAAAAAGATTTTTTTTTTTTTTTTTTTTTTTTTTTATCACACCGGCCGATTCCCACCAAGGCAGGGTGGCCCGAAAAAGAAAAACTTTCACCATCATTCACTCCATCACTGTCTTGCCAGAAGGGTGCTTTACACTACAGTTTTTAAACTGCAACATTAACACCCCTCCTTCAGAGTGCAGGCACTGTACTTCCCATCTCCAGGACTCAAGTCCGGCCTGCCGGTTTCCCTGAATCCCTTCATAAATGTTACTTTGCTCACACTCCAACAGCACGTCAAGTATTAAAAACCATTTGTCTCCATTCACTCCTATCAAACACGCTCAAGCATGCCTGCTGGAAGTCCAAGCCCCTCGCACACAAAACCTCCTTTACCCCCTCCCTCCAACCCTTCCTTGGCCGACCCCTACCCCGCCTTCCTTCCACTACAGACTGATACACTCTTGAAGTCATTCTGTTTCGCTCCATTCTCTCTACATGTCCGAACCACCTCAACAACCCTTCCTCAGCCCTCTGGACAACAGTTTTGGTAATCCCGCACCTCCTCCTAACTTCCAAACTACGAATTCTCTGCATTATATTCACACCACACATTGCCCTCAGACATGACATCTCCACTGCCTCCAGCCTTCTCCTCGCTGCAACATTCATCACCCACGCTTCACACCCATATAAGAGCGTTGGTAAAACTATACTCTCATACATTCCCCTCTTTGCCTCCAAGGACAAAGTTCTTTGTCTCCACAGACTCCTAAGTGCACCACTCACTCTTTTTCCCTCATCAATTCTATGATTCACCTCATCTTTCATAGACCCATCCGCTGACACGTCCACTCCCAAATATCTGAATACGTTCACCTCCTCCATACTCTCTCCCTCCAATCTGATATTCAATCTTTCATCACCTAATCTTTTTGTTATCCTCATAACCTTACTCTTTCCTGTATTCACCTTTAATTTTCTTCTTTTGCACACCCTACCAAATTCACCCACCAATCTCTGCAACTTCTCTTCAGAATCTCCCAAGAGCACAGTGTCATCAGCAAAGAGCAGCTGTGACAACTCCCACTTTGTGTGTGATTCTTTATCTTTTAACTCCACGCCTCTTGCCAAGACCCTCGCATTTACTTCTCTTACAACCCCATCTATAAATATATTAAACAACCACGGTGACATCACACATCCTTGTCTAAGGCCTACTTTTACTGGGAAAAAATTTCCCTCTTTCCTACATACTCTAACTTGAGCCTCACTATCCTCGTAAAAACTCTTCACTGCTTTCAGTAACCTACCTCCTACACCATACACTTGCAACATCTGCCACATTGCCCCCCTATCCACCCTGTCATACGCCTTTTCCAAATCCATAAATGCCACAAAGACCTCTTTAGCCTTATCTAAATACTGTTCACTTATATGTTTCACTGTAAACACCTGGTCCACACACCCCCTACCTTTCCTAAAGCCTCCTTGTTCATCTGCTATCCTATTCTCCGTCTTACTCTTATTCTTTCAATTATAACTCTACCATACACTTTACCAGGTACATCAACAGACTTATCCCCCTATAATTTTTGCACTCTCTTTTATCCCCTTTGCCTTTATACAAAGGAACTATGCATGCTCTCTGCCAATCCCTAGGTACCTTACCCTCTTCCATACATTTATTAAAACAATTGCACCAACCACTCCAAAACTATATCCCCACCTGCTTTTAACATTTCTATCTTTATCCCATCAATCCCGGCTGCCTTACCCCCTTTCATTTTACCTACTGCCTCACGAACTTCCCCCACACTCACAACTGGCTCTTCCTCACTCCTACAAGATGTTATTCCTCCTTGCCCTATACACGAAATCACAGCTTCCCTATCTTCATCAACATTTAACAATTCCTCAAAATATTCCTTCCATCTTCCCAATACCTCTAACTCTCCATTTAATAACTCTCCTCTCCTATTTTTAACTGACAAATCCATTTGTTCTCTAGGCTTTCTTAACTTGTTAATCTCACTCCAAAACTTTTCTTATTTTCAACAAAATTTGTTGATAACATCTCACCCACTCTCTCATTTGCTCTCTTTTTACATTGCTTCACCACTCTCTTAACCTCTCTCTTTTTCTCCATATACTCTTCCCTCCTTGCATCACTTCTACTTTGTAAAAACTTCTCATATGCTAACTTTTTCTCCTTACTACTCTCTTTACATCATCATTCCACCAATCGCTCCTCTTCCCTCCTGCACCCACTTTCCTGTAACCACAAACTTCTGCTGAAGACTCTAACACTACATTTTTAAACCTACCCCATACCTCTTCGACCCCATTGCCTATGCTCTCATTAGCCCATCTATCCTCCAATAGCTGTTTATATCTTACCCTAACTGCCTCCTCTTTTAGTTTATAAACCTTCACCTCTCTCTTCCCTGATGCTTCTATTCTCCTTGTATCCCATCTACCTTTTACTCTCAGTGTAGCTACAACTAGAAAGTGATCTGATATATCTGTGGCCCCTCTATAAACATGTACATCCTGAAGTCTACTCAACAGTCTTTTATCTACCAATACATAATCCAACAAACTACTGTCATTTCTTTCAGTATTCAAAATACAGTTTTCATGGCTCCCAAGCTTAATATAAAACATATTCACTTACTCTTCTCTTTATTAATTCCTGTGGTTGGCACAAACTAAGTTAAGTTTAATACAAACTAAGTACATTATTGTTAAACAAAAGAAAAATTTAAACTAAACAAGATTTTTGAAGGGATTTAAGGAAACCGGTTAGCCAGACTTGAGTCCTGGAGGTGAGAAGTACAGTGCCTGCACTCTGAAGGAGGGGTGGAGATATGGGGCATAAAGTACTTCTTTGTACAGCAGGTGGTAAAGCCTTGTATGTCATGAAACTGTACCTCAGCACTATGAGGCCAAACAAACCAAATTATTCCCAATTTACAGGAACACAGAGTTCGGAATAATATGAATCAATGTAATGCAGGTTGCTTACCCAACAAGCAGAAGACAGCTGAAAATGAAGCTTTAACCAGGGCCAGTTACAAAGTAGCTCATGAGTTAACTAAAAGAGGAAAGCCATTCACTGACGAAGATCTGATCAAAGAGTACATGATGGAAGCAGTGGGAGAGTTATGACCAGAACAACCAAATCTTCAAAATCCTCAGTCTTGCACTAAATACTGTTTCTTGTAGAATTGAGGATATAGGAAGCAATATATTTCATCAAACTGCAAACAAAACATTAAATTTTCAGTTTTATTCTCTCACACTTGATGAATTGAATGACATGAGTGACACATCACAGCTCTTAGCACTCATCTGTGGTGCTGACAATGAATTTAATGTCACACAATAATTAGCATCAATGCACAGTATGCACAGCACAGGAACCAGAGAAGATATCTTCAAAGAATTGCTAAAAAACTGTATTAGAATGTAACCCAAAGTGGAATAAACTGCAATGTGTGACAAGTGGCAGAGGAAAGAACAAGTCTGGGGTGAAGAACGCTTTGGCTGGACAATTCACAAAAGCTTGTGAGGATGGTGAATTCTCAAAGCCCATGTTTCTGCATTGCATCAGCAACTTGTGCGAAAAATATGTGGCTATGTCTTGCGTTCTGAATCCTGTTGTTTCAACAGTGAATTTCATTTGATCTCATTGGCTTAATCATAGCCAGTTTTGTGATTTTCTGAAAGAAACTGATTCTGAGTTTGTTGACTTGCCTTATTATACAGAAGTTCAACGGCTTAGTTGTGGAAAGGTTCTATCACAGTTCTTTCAGCTCAGAAAGAAAATTGATTCATTTCTCAGAAAAGACTCAACCCGAACCACTTTTATCAAATACTGACTGGCTTTGAAGACCGTCTTTTTTTGCAGATGTGACATGCCATATGAATCAATTGAACCTGAAGTTGCATGGTGAAACAAATTTGATTTGTGATCCATTCATGCATGTTAAGGCATTCAGGGCAAAACTGATGGTATTTGAAGGACAGGGGAAAATTTCTAACTTGGTTTATTTCCCATGTGAAAAATTTCATGAAGAAAGTGAAGCAGATTTTCTTTCTTCATTTGCAATAGAAATCATTAATGACTTGCAAAAACAATTTTAGAGACGATTTTCTGATCTTGATGGAAAAACAGATGCAATGAAGCTGTTCCAAAAGCCATTTGACTACATTGTTGAAACACTTTCAAGTCAGTTTCAAATGGAAATATCTATCTCCAATCAGATGACATGCTGAAAGAAAAGTATAAAGAAAGAAATATGATCTAATTTTATATATATATTTATATATACATATTTTATATATATTTTATATATATTTTATATATATATGCAGAAAATTCGGAGTGTGGAAATTAGGAAAAGGTGTGGAGTTAATAAAAGTATTAGTCAGAGGGTAGAAGAGGGGTTGTTGAGGTGGTTTGGTCATTTAGAGAGAATGGATCAAAGTAGAATGACATGGAAAGCATATAAATCTATAGGGGAAGGAAGGCGAGGTAGGGGTCGTCCTCGAAAGGGTTGGAGAGAGGGGGTAAAGGAGGTTTTGTGGGCAAGGGGCTTGGACTTCCAGCAAGCGTGCGTGAGCGTGTTAGATAGGAGTGAATGAGACGAATGGTACTTGGGACCTGACTATCTGTTGGAGTGTGAGCAGGGTAATATTTAGTGAAGGGATTCAGGGAAACCAGTTATTTTCATATAGTCAGACTTGAGTCCTGGAAATGGGAAGTACAATGCCTGCACTTTAAAGGAGGGGTTTGGGATATTGGCAGTTTGGAGGGATATGTTGTGTATCTTTATACGTATATGCTTCTAAACTGTTGTATTCTGAGCACCTCTGCAAAAACAGTGATTGTGTGTGAGTGTGGTGAAAGTGTTGAATGATGATGAAAGCATTTTCTTTTTGGGGATTTTCTTTCTTTTTTGGGTCACCCTGCCTCGGTGGGAGACGGCCAACTTGTTGAAAAAAAAAAAAAAATTTACAGCCTGAACAGTTTCCAAATTTGAAGCAATTTGCTTGTGGATTCGTATCAGTTTTGGGTACAACATACCTTTGTGAACAAATATTTAAAAAAATACGTATGTCAAGTCAAAATATCACACAAATTTATCTGATGAGAATTTGAAATCATTCTAATAACTGGTTCCTCAAGCTTGAAACCTCAGTTCAGGAATATTAATCTTGTGCCAGCTTTTCTCATCTGCAGTTCAGTAAGTGATTGGCTTATGTTTGACATTTTTACTCATTATATGTCATTTCTCAGTGCATTTTTTCTTTGTAACAGTCGCATTATTCTTTTATTCTGAATCATATGCTGATTACAAAAAAAACAAATAAAACTTATTCATATAAATTTTTTTCATTCATTTATATTTATTTATAAGACTGATTTTTTCTTTGGTCTGCAAAAATGAATAAAGTATATAATGTGGCCCTTGTAGTGAAAAGTTTGGAGACCCCTGGTTTAAGTGTTTCATCTTTTTTGGGTCACCCTACCTTGGCGGGAGATGACCAGCGTATCAAAATATTAATATCATTAATACTTTGGTAGTGTTGTTACACTTACTTTAGACATAACAGTAATGAGAGAGTCCATAGAACTGGCAGCCAGTGTTGAATGTGTGTTTGTGGTGTCATGGTGGCCACTACCACTCACTGCTGCATCGCATATCAAGCACACAGCACTATCACTATTCATGGATGCCTCCTCTACCAAGCGCTTCTTCTTGTATGATGATGACATCCCATTCTGTGTGAAGCATAAAAAGCATATTTTGATTCAAGAACTAAAAGCCATAATACGTACTGTATTGTGGCTGGAATAATTCACATATAACCCACACTTGAGAGAAAACTCATGATGGCATTTTGGTCTGTCCTGGACCACTGTCAAGTCACAATCATATTGTCAATAACTAAATTATTGCTAACAGTTGTAATAATCATACTAAACCATTGCTCCCAGTTTTAATAACCTTTACAGGAAAAACTTGAAAGGATAGTTCTTGTGCATTATATAAATTTTATAAACATTCCTCGATGTTCATATTTCCCCAGTCTTTGAAACTGCTTATTTATTCTCCTCTCATTTCTCTGATCACTTAAGCTATGATGATGCTAGTGACACTCCTTCATTTATCAGATATGCTATTTATGTATATATCCTGTATAACATTCTAGCTATTTACTGTTATTCAATTCCTATAAAAGAAGGGTCCATCTTATACAGCAGATGAGGTTCTGGGTTACTACTGTAAAGTGAAGCATAGCCTTTTTTCACTCTCAAATGCATATAAAAACCTGATAACATGTTTACACTATCTCATGCCTGCCAATCAATTTAGGGCTATACTTAAAAATCATCTCATCTTCCAAAATTAACCATACCAACACTTTACTGAATCATTCAACCAGTTTGAAACGACTCATTTTATTATTATTATTATCACACTGGCCGATTCCCACCAAGGCAAGGTGGCCCAAAAAAGAAAAACTTTCACCATCATTCACTCCATCACTGTCTTGCCAGAAGGGTGCTTTACACTACAGTTTTCAAACTGCAACATTAACACCCCTCCTTCAGAGTGCAGGCACTGTACTTCCCATCTCCAGGACTCAAGTCCGGCCTGCCGGTTTCCCTGAACCCCTTCATAAATGTTACTTTGCTCACACTCCAACAGCATGTCAAGTATTAAAAACCATTTGTCTCCATTTACTCCTATCAAACACGCTCACGCATACCCGCTGGAAGTCCAAGCCCCTCGCACACAAAACCTCCTTTACCCCCTCCCTCCAACCTTTCCTGGGCCGACCCCTACCCCGCCTTCCTTCCACTACAGACTGATACACTCTTGAAGTCACTCTGTTTCGCTCCATTCTCTCTACATGTCCGAACCACCTCAACAACCCTTCCTCAGCCCTCTGGACAACAGTTTTGGTAATCCCGCACCTCCTCCTAACTTCCAAACTACGAATTCTCTGCATTATACTCACACCACACATTGCCCTCAGACATGACATCTCCACTGCCTCCAGCCTTCTCCTCGCTGCAACATTCATCACCCATGCTTCACACCCATATAAGAGCGTTGGTAAAACTATACTCTCATACATTCCCCTCTTTGCCTCCAAGGACAAAGTTCTTTGTCTCCACAGACTCCTAAGTGCACCACTCACCCTTTTCCCCTCATCAATTCTATGATTCACCTCATCTTTCATAGACCCATCCACTGACATGTCCACTCCCAAATATCTGAATACATTCACCTCCTCCATCCTCTCTCCCTCCAATCTGATATCCAATCTTTCATCACCTAATCTTTCTGTTATCCTCATAACCTTACTCTTTCCTGTATTCACTTTCAATTTTCTTCTTTTACATACCCTACCAAATTCATCCACCAATCTCTGCAACTTTCTTCAGAATCACCCAAGAGCACAGTGTCATCAGCAAAGAGCAACTGTGACAACTCCCACTTTATGTGCGATTCTTTATCTTTTAACTGTAAATACATACTTAATTGAACACAATGCATAAATAAAGCTCTTCCTGGATGGAGTTCTCAAGAGACATTTTACAAGAGAAAACTAAGACCAACCATTGGTGAGAACCATTTTTATTTGACTTGCACTGTCATGTTTTCAGAATTCTTCCTGTCCTGGCTGATTCAAACTTTTGGTGTTAAAGTGTACCATATGTCCTATACACAGAACTTGAAATTCATATCTTTTAATACCTATGCCTACATTCCCTCATATATGCAGAGTATACATATGTGATACTGAGAGCATAGAAACACTTACCTTGGTGAGAGCAAGAGCATCAGTGGTACAAGGAAGTGAGCTTGCTGCAACTTCTGCTACCCCTTGCTGTGTTACAGTCATTGTACTACCACTGTCACACACCACACATGGCTGGCATTCATTTATAACTTCCTCTGAACTCTTTTTCTTATACACACACTGACTGCATTCCTAATAAAAACAAGATGTCATTAATAAAGTTCAAAACTAATTATAATGAAGGTGCTCAAGTGAAGTTCATTATCTTGACGGTGCTTAGTGTCTCACAATTGTGCTTCAAGGTGTTTTGCAATATAATATCATATCTCTATATCTGTACCAGGCATAAATTCCAGCCATTCTTGTGGAATGTTAAATATTTCATGATGTAAGGATAGTGAAGCATGAATTTATTCTAGAAAGTCAGGCAGCCAATCAGGATTTTTGTACACAACATTTTTGCAATTCCTAAGAAATGATGTGAAAGAATATATAATATTCCACAACAAGGGCTCCAGTCTCCTGCCTAAAAGAACAATGAGCTGGCATGTGAAAAGTTTAAACCTAAACTCACCTGAATGAGATCAAGTGCAGTATTCTTTGTATGGGCCAAGCACTCTTGGTGGGCAGTGGTCTCGGAGTTAGTGTGAGTACTGACATTTGCTTGACTCGTGGTTAATGTATGAGGCAACGAAGCTGTAGGCTGAATTGGTGGAGGTAGTGTTTGAGTCAATGGAGGTGGTGGCTGGGTAGAGGCAGGCAGAGTATGGGTTAATGGAAGCAATGGTTGGGTAGAGGGAGGCACTGGGTGAGGTAATGGGGGTGGTGGCTGAGCTGAAGGAGGCAGTGAATGGGACAATGGTAGTGTTGGCTGAGTGGAGGAAGGCAATGTGTGGGTTAATGCGGGTGGTGGCTGAGCTGAAGGAGGCAGTGTATTAGTCAATAATAGTGTTGACTGAGTGGAAGAAGGCAATGTATGGGTTAATGAGGGTGGTGGCTGAGTAGAGGGAGGCACTGTGTGAGGTAATGGTGGTGCTGGCTGGGTAGAAGGAGCCAATGTATGGGTTAATGATGTTTGTGGCTGGGTAGAGGATGGCACTGAGTGAGGTAAGGGAAGTGGTGGTGGTGGTTGAGCTGGAGGCAGTGCAAGAGTGGCAAGTTTCTCTGCAGATGCAAGATGAAGCTCAAGTTGTCTTGTGTTGGCTTGGTTTACCTGCCCAGTACAAGCCTAAAGTTTGAAGGAAATGAAATGACATTTAATAATGTAGGTACACTACAGTTGAAAACACTTGCATTTTTTATTTGTTAGATAACCAATTACAAGAGACTCCCACAGATCATGCATGTTGTGTTCCTGAAAATTGGCAATGTATGTGATATTGTAATATGTGACCTGAGGAACATATGGGAAGAATAAGGTTATGTTTTTAATATTTCCAAAAACAAAAAGCAGTTTTTTTTAAATTATATAATTTTCCAAAAATAGTTGCTTGTTATATAGTACACTGTAAGGTTTGTTGTTTGTTGATCTGGAAATGTGTCGAGAAGAGTGATGCAACCCTGGTCTCAGACCAAGCCGCGGGGGTGTTGACCCCTGAAACCCTCTCCAGGTATACTCCAAGTATAACTCTGTATAATACCTGTACAAACATGTGGCAGGTAGTAGCAGCTGCCAACTATCATAACCTACCATCAACATAGCAGAAATAAACCACATTTTTTTTTTTTACCAAACTGTACCAAACATATAGACACTCATTACATCTATACCAAACAAATACAGTATATATTAAAAATTAATATACATGTATTTGAATAAGTATTAACCAAGAAAATGCAGTAGAGCCAAATGCTCATACACACCATGCCTGACTAGGCAGCTAGTTTTGCCCAGGCCTCTTTTTTTTAAAGCTTTACAGTGTAATCACATAGTTACTTTCCTGCAAAATGTGATATTGAGAACAAAATTTAAGTCATGATACAGTGTACTGAAAATACAGTTTATGGTAGCACTAAATGTCAGAATTGGCTGTGCAATATTTTCTCTAATATGGTTAGACACAAGCTCAGAGCAGCTGTTCTTAAAAAACTATACTCAGACCAATATTCCTTTCAAGACATACATCAGAATATCAAACAAGTTCCAAGCACTAAATAGTCAGGACGTTAACATATTCAGTGACTTTAGTAGTCAATAACTTGCTACTTTTCATAGTTTGGTAGTTTAATTCCTTCTTGCATGGTGAAACCTTGGTGTGCAATACTGACAAGTGGTTAAAAAAAAAAACATGAACAAATACTTTGGACGTTTTATACTGGAAACATTCACTCCATGGAGTGAACTAAGTCCCAGGACTGAAATATTTCCATAATGATATGGTCTAAGTGTTTGTTTATGTGTATTCTTGCATACTCATTCTGCTTCTTACATACCAATGGTAACTTTAAATACTACATTAATAGTAATGTAGTGTGTGTGTTGCAACCTGAAGTATAAGTGTGCACATTACTGCCAGGAGCTGTGTCTCGACCCCTGTAGTCACAAATAGGTGAGTACATGTGCACATTACTGCAATCTATGTGCACATAACTTCCATTATGCACATGGGTGGAGAAAATCAGACAGAACATTAACTCTCACTCAAAATTATTTTATTATTTATCTCCAAGAAAATATTTTTTATCTTTTAATGTATTTACAATATTTTCTTGTTGTAAACCTTTCAAAATAATGTATTCATTTTCCTATGGATTTAATTCTTTATTAATTTCAGTATACTCCAGCAAGTAATTTCAAATTACATTTGATTATACTGCTGTGATAATTATTAACTTTAAATAACATACAGTGCAGTATTTGTAGTTCTGTAATTAATAAGGAACTCTTAATTACCCAGGAAAACTACAGCATAGTAAAATATTGTTTTTCATGAGTCATTTACTCTTTATGGGTAATCTCAAGTATGACTTAAGAAACATATATAGTTATAACACTTCAGATTACTTACTTGATCTGAGCGGTGAGAAGATGATCGATGGTCAGAACGAGTTTCCAGCCGAGCATCTGTTACTTGCTGGTAGCCCAACGGTGCAAAGTAAGGTAGAAATGGTGGTATCTGTGTGCCTGGTATTGCTTGGTACTCATAGTGGCATCGGGACATTGAAGGATCAGCAGATCCCATACCCATGTTCATGTTGACTGTGAGAGTGTGACCAGAAGCACCTCGTGGTGCAGGCTTTACCTGAGGGCTATCAACTTGCTGTTCTTGGGAGGCAAAACTTTCCCCATTCACTCCACTTACAGCACCTACGCTCACCCCTGCCACACACTTATTCCAGGCAGCATCAAGGCGGCAATCTGTATAGGAGTAGGTGTATGGGTGTGACACGTGATTGGGAGGCACAGTAGTCCGTGATGTAGAAGTCACTGTTCCACAGCCTCCCATCCCGTCCCATGTTCGTCCTGTCCCATCCTCACTATACACACCCATACGCGAATAGTCGTCAAAAGTTCGTTGGTCATGTACGTGGCCTGGCCGTGTTGTAACCTCTCCACATGAGGGATAAGCCACAGAGTTATATCCTCCATCTTGTTGAAGTCTGCGCTGGCAAACCTCCATGGCATACTGGCGAGAGTCTGAAGCATCACATGCTTTACCTGCATGTTCTGTGCTTGAACCTTGCCTGCTAGACTGTCCCACATCTTTGTAAACATTCTCAGATGAGCCAGGCAACATTTCAGTCAGTCCACTGCGCATAGTTTCACTTAAATTAGCAAAATATGCTGTTCCTGTAAAAAAAAGAGCATTAGAATATCAGGGCAATATTTTCAGAATCCTCCTGTGTATTTTCAATTTCCATTCTCAAAACAATATACATATCAATTACAGTGAAACCTTGAACAGCTCCTTACTCAAACAATTCAGTATTCGAACGCTTTGTTTGGTAAAATAATTGCTCAGTAGTCAACTGTTTACTCAGAACTCATTCAAACAAACACAACCTGCCAGAACTTTGCTGTAAACTATTTCATGTTTCTTTGCATTTTTTTTTGGTGTTTTTTTTTTGCATTTTTTTTTTTTTTGGTGTTTTTTTTTACATTATTTGTATAAGTCACCATGTGGCCTAAGAAGATTAGTGATAACAGCCAACTGAAAAAGAAAATTGGTTGAGAAAAATCAGTTCAGTACTCAAACAGATCGGCACTCGAACAGCCTTCTGGAACGAATTAAGTTCAAGTACTGAGGTTGCACTGTATACTGTATTTAGAATGCACAATTTTCCCTTAAGCCAACTCAAATAGTCCTGATACCTTGATACTGTAAGCTCTCTCTTAAAAATGTTCCAAATTCAGAATTTACATTTAAAATTTAGAAGGGTTTCTGAAATTCAGAAATTTCAAAAGAGGAAAATCTTGAGTTGAAATTATCAACGAGTATGTTGAGTAAAACTTAATGTCAAAGCCTGCTGTCACCCAACCCCTTCTAACTCGTGTATTTGTCAAATATACTTAGAGAACAATATAGCAGTAATAAGAACAACATCAAATTACATTAAGGGAGACAGCAGCAGACATTTACTTCACTATCCATCACATGTCTCTTAAATTGGGGTCACATGTACACTGCTGTAATAATTGACTATCAAATCATCTGACATTTTCATATACTGTACTTAGTTCTGGCATGCAGGAGTTTACTTTTTAGATAATATAAAATTCAAATACAGAAGTCAAAATTTCATCTTCAAAACATTATATATAAATGCTGCATAAGATGTGTAAAACCCATAGCATGCATAGCATTTTGGGCAACTTGGACTTGGAAGAAAACTACATGTACTTAATACCTGGAGTTTACCTGGAGAGAGTTCCGGGGGTCAACGCCCCCGCGGCCTGGTCTGTGACCAGGCCTCCTGGTGGATCAGAGCCTGATCAACCAGGCTGTTGCTGCTGGCTGCACGCAAACCAACGTACGAGCCACAGCCCGGCTGATCAGGAACTGACTTTAGGTGCTTGTCCAGTGCCAGCTTGAAGACTGCCAGGGGTCTGTTGGTAATCCCTCTTATGTGTGCTGGGAGGCAGTTGAACAGTCTCGGGCCCCTGACACTTATTGTATGGTCTCTTAACGTGCTAGTGACACCCCTGCTTTTCATTGGGGGATGGTGCATCGTCTGCCAAGTCTTTTGCTTTCGTAGTGAGTGATTTTCGTGTGCAAGTTCGGTACTAGTCCCTCTAGGATTTTCCAGGTGTATATAATCATGTATCTCTCCCTCCTGCGTTCCAGGGAATACAGGTTTAGGAACCTCAAGCGCTCCCAGTAACTGAGGTGTTTTATCTCCGTTATGCGCGCCGTGAAAGTTCTCTGTACATTTTCTAGGTCGGCAATTTCACCTGCCTTGAAAGGTGCTGTTACTGTGCAACAATATTCCAGCCTAGATAGAACAAGTGACCTGAAGAGTGTCATCATGGGCTTGGCCTCCCTAGTTTTGAAGGTTCTCATTATCCATCCTGTCATTTTTCTAGCAGATGCGATTGATACAATGTTATGGTCCTTGAAGGTGAGATCCTCCGACATGATCACTCCCAGGTCTTTGACGTTGGTGTTTCGCTCTATTTTGTGGCCAGAATTTGTTTTGTACTCTGATGAAGATTTAATTTCCTCATGTTTACCATATCTGAGTAATTGAAATTTCTCATCGTTGAACTTCATATTGTTTTCTGCAGCCCACTGAAAGATTTGGTTGATGTCCGCCTGGAGCCTTGCAGTGTCTGCAATGGAAGACACTGTCATGCAGATTCGGGTGTCATCTGCAAGGGAAGACACGGTGCTGTGGCTGACATCCTTGTCTATGTTGGATATGAGGATGAGGAACAAGATGGGAGCGAGTACTGTGCCTTGTGGAACAGAGCTTTTCACCGTAGCTGCCTCGGACTTTACTCTGTTGACGACTACTCTCTGTGTTCTGTTAGTGAGGAAATTATACATCCATCGACCGACTTTTCCTGTTATTCCTTTAGCACGCATTTTGTGCGCTATTACGCCATGGTCACACTTGTCAAAGGCTTTTGCAAAGTCTGTATATATTACATCTGCATTCTTTTTGTCTTCTAGTGCATTTAGGACCTTGTCGTAGTGATCCAATAGTTGAGACAGACAGGAGCGACCTGTTCTAAACCCATGTTGCCCTGGGTTGTGTAACTGATGGGTTTCTAGATGGGTGGTGATCTTGCTTCTTAGGACCCTTTCAAAGATTTTTATGATATGGGATGTTAGTGCTATTGGTCTGTAATTCTTTGCTGTTGCTTTACTGCCCCCTTTGTGGAGTGGGGCTATGTCTGTTGTTTTTAGTAACTGTGGGACGACCCCGTGTCCATGCTCCCTCTCCATAGGATGGAAAAGGCTCGTGATAGGGGCTTCTTGCAGTTCTTGATGAACACAGAGTTCCATGAGTCTGGCCCTGGGGCAGAGTGCATGGGCATGTCATTTATCGCCTGTTCGAAGTCATTTGGCGTCAGGATAACATCGGATAGGCTTGTGTTAATCAAATTTTGTGGCTCATAAAAAATTCATTTTGATCTTCGACTCTCAGTCTGGTTAGCGGCTTGCTAAAAACTGAGTCATACTGGGACTTGAGTAGCTCACCCATTTCCTTGCTGTCATCTGTGTAGGACCCATCTTGTTTAAGTAGGGGCCCAATACTGGACGTTGGTCTCGATTTTGATTTGGCATAGGAGAAGAAATACTTTGGGTTTCTTTCGATTTCATTTATGGCTTTTAGTTCTTCCCGCGATTCCTGACTCCTAAAGGATTCTTTTAGCTTAGTTCGATGCTTGCTATTTCTCTGACCAGTGTCTCCCTACGCATTTCAGATATATTGACCTCTTTTAGCCGCTCTGTTATTCTTTTCCGTCGCCTGTAAAGGGAGCGCCTGTCTCTTTCTATTTTACATCTACTCCTCCTTTTTCTTAGAGGAATAAGCCTTGTGCAAACATCGAGTGCCACCGAGTTAATCTGTTCTAGGTATAAGTTGGGGTCTGTGTTGCTTAGTATATCTTCCCAGCTTATATCGGTTAGGAATTGGTTTACTTGGTCCCACTTTATGTTTTTGTTATTGAAGTTGAATTTGGTGAATGCTCCCTCGTGACTAGTCTCATTATGTCGGTCTGGGGCTCCACGCATACATGTCTGAACCTCAATTATGTTGTGATCTGAGTATATTGTTTTTGATATGGTGACATTTCTTATCAGATCATCATTGTTAGTGAAGATGAGGTCTAGTGTATTCTCCAGTCTAGTAGGCTCTATTATTTGCTGGTTTAAATTGAATTTTGTGCAGAGATTTAAAAGCTCGAGGGAGTGTGAGTTTTCATCAGAGCTGCCTCCTGGTGTTATTACTGCAACAATATTATTTGCTATATTCCTCCATTTTAGGTGCCTTAAGTTGAAATCCCCCAGGAGCAAGATGTTGGGTGCAGGAGCTGGAAGATTTTCCAGACAGTGGTCAATTTTTAACAGCTGTTCCTGGAATTGCTGGGATGTTGCATCCGGAGGCTTGTAGACTACCACAATGACTAGGTTTTGGTTCTCGACCTTTACTGCTAAAACTTCCACTACATCATTTGAGGCATTAAGCAGTTCTGTGCAAACAAGTGACTCTGCAATGTACAGGCCAATCCCCCCCTTTTGCCTGTTCACTCTGTCACATCTGTATAGGTTGTAACCTGGGATCCATATTTCGTTGTCCAAGTGATCCTTTATGTGGGTCTCAGTGAAAGCCGCGAACATTGCCTTTGCCTCTGCAAGCAGTCCACGGATGAAAGGTATTTTGTTGTTGTTGTATGTTCTCTAAACTTACGAGTCTATCAGAGGGTACTGAGAAGGAGTTAAAATATACATGTACATGTAGTTAAAGAGCAAATTAAAGTTGTAATTGATGTTAGAAAAGATTGAATGTTAGTTATCAAAATAAAAGTGGTCCAAATAAGGTGCTAACATTTTTTCAACAAAATGGACATCTCCCACTGAGGCAGGGCAACCCGAAAAAGAAGAAATGTAAAGTTTTCAAGGTACTAACACATCAACCCAAAATAGACCTTAATGCAATTTATTAAAATTTAATAAATTCAGATTTAAAAAGGTTATTAAAAAGCACTGGCTTGGCAACAGTTCTAGATTAGTGGAACAAACTGCAATGTCTGGAGACATAAAGGAGTGAAAATAATTGGGAAAATTAGATCTGCCTAGCATTGTTTAGCAGTAACTGTAAGCAAGTGGAATAGGTAAATGATTGTGGGCAGGACCTCCCTATCATGGTTAACTGATTAACAAGAGTGTATAAATCTGTAGTAGAGGGAAGGCAGGATAGAGGTTGGCCTAGGAAAGGTTAGAGGGAGGAAGTAAAGGAGGTTTAGTGTGCACGAGGCTTGGACTTCCAGCAAGCATGTGTGAGCATGTTAGATAGGAGTGAATGGAGACAAATGGTTGTTAGGACTTGACGTGCTGTTGGAGTGTAATTATAAAGGGATTCAGGGAAACCAGCAGGCTGGACTTGAGTCCTGGAGATGAGAAGTACAGTGCCTGCACTCTGAAGGAGGGGTGTTAATGTTGCAATTTTATAACTGTAGTGTAAGTGCACCTCTGGCACAACAGTGATGGGGTGAATGATGGTGAAAGTTTTTCTTTTTTGGACCACCCTACCTTGGTGGGAAACGGCCGACGTGTTAAAACAAAATTAAAAAGAAAAATAAGTTCCCATGACCAAAACATTTCCTCAGTAAAATGTCTTTAGTGTTGGGTTGTTTGTCTTGATCCTCATCATGGCTAGCAAGTATACTGCAGGCTTGCTCTATTCTTGTGTTCTACAGTATAACAATTATAGATTTCAACCCTTCAAGATATTTTTTTTTTCAACAAGTTGGCCGTCTCACACTGAGGCAGGGTGACCCAAAAAGAAAGAAAATCCCCAAAAAGAAAATACTTTCATCATCATTCAACAGTTTCACCTCACTCACACATAATCACTGTTTTTGCAGAGGTGCCCAGAATACAACAGCTTAGAAGTATATACGTAAAAAAATACTGCCAATATCCCAAACCCCCTCCTTTAGAGTGCAGGCATTGTACTTCCCATTTTCAGGACTCAAGTCTGGTTATATAAAATAACCGGTTTCCCTGAATCCCTTCACTAAATATTACCCTGCTCACACTCCAACAGCTCGTCAGGTCCCAAATACCATTCGTCTCCATTCACTCCTAACATGCTCACGCACGCTTGCTGGAAGTTAAAACCCCTCGCCCACAACACCTCCTATACCCCCTCCCTCCAACCTTTTCGAGGATGACCCCTACCCCACCTTCCTTTCCCTATAGATTTATACGTTCTCCATGTCATTCTACTTTGATCCATTCTCTCTATATGACCAAACCACCTCAACAAACCCTCTTCAGCCCTCTGACTAATACTTTTATTAGCTCCACACCTTCTCCTAATTTCCACACTTTAAATTTTCTACATAATATTTACACCACACACTGCCCTTAGACAGGACATCTCCACTGCCTCCTCGCTGCAGCATTTACCACCCAAGCTTCACATCCATATAAGAGTGCTGGTACTACTATACTTTCATACATTCCCTTCTTTGCCTCCATAGATAACATTTTTTGCCTCCACATATACCTCAATGCACCACTCACCTTTTTTCCTTCATCAATTCTATGATTAACCTCATCCTTCATAAATCCATCTGCTGACATGTCAACTTCCAAATATCAGAAAACATTCACTTCTCCCATACTCCTTCTCCCCAATTTGATATCCAATTTTTCTTTATCTAAATCATTTGATACCCTCATCACCTTACACTTTCCTATGTTCACCTTCAACTTTCTACCTTTACACACACTCCCAAATTCGTCCACTAGCCTTTGCAATTTTTCTTTAGAATCTCCCATAAGCACAGTATCATCACCAAAAAGTAACAGTGTCACTTCCCATTTTGTACTTAATTCCTTATAATTTAATCCCACCCCTCTCCCAAACACCCTAGCATTTACTTCTTTTACAACCCCATCTATAAATCTATAAATATACTACCCATAAATATATTACCCATAAATTAGTCAACCCTTTATATACATGATAAATCAAATGGTTTAGTGTTCACTGGTTTATCTGATTAAAATCAGACTGATGGTATGGTACCCATTATGAAAGATACATACATAACAGCTTATCAGAAATTATGGTTTAAAAATCACTTGCTATTATATTAAGTAAATACTGCATGTTAAAAGCTACATGTATGTAGCACATACTGCTTACCTGCAGAAGGTGAGGCATGTGGTACAGGATACGAGTGCTGCTGAGATGCCAGGAGTGGGGAATACAAGGGAGGTTGAGCAGTCATTATGGGACGCAACAGAGACTGCTGTGAATTTAGAATTGGCGAGTAATAATAACTGGGAGCTGTATTAACTTGTCCTCCAGGCCCTCCATTTCCTGCAACAACTCCTCCTCCCCCACCTTGGGAAAGGTGGTAGCCTGACGAAACATTAGCTGGTACTCCACCACCTCCTGCTCCCTCCCCAACACTTGGTCCCCCATTTGCAACTTCTGCCTGATGGTAACTTGTTGGGATATTGGAAGAGTCATTAACTCCTCCCCCACTGGTATTTGATCCATTACTACCACTGTGATGATAACTAGATGAGACAGCAATACCGTTATTTTCCCTACTACTACCAGCTCCGCCATTGTGGTGATAGGAAGAGTTAGCTGAGGCTGCGGTAGCACTTCCCCCTCTATTTTCTACATGAGTGTGCCCTTGGTACGAGGAGGGGACGTTGACTGTAGTACAACCAGATTCTAATACTGTACCTCTTCCTGCCTCACACACAGGTGGCACAGATGGTACTTCACATATTGTTTGTTCTCTCTTGACATTATTGTTTCTACTGTTTCTACCACTCTCATCACATGCAGTGTTTCTACTGCTACTGTTGCTGTTGCTACTTTTGTTCATGTTCTGTAAAGAAAACAACAACTAGAGATATGAATCCATCACGTAAGTGTGATCAAAAAGGATATCCTGATTCTGCTTATCAAGTATATCTTACATTATACAAACTGTTTATAAAATAACCTTGAACACAGGCAAGAAAACAAGAAACCAAAGCCAGCCCAGCCCAGCCAGTCAGCCAGCAAGTCAGCCAGTTAGCTAGCCAGCCAGCAAGCAAATAAGTAACTTTGCCTGCCCACCTGCTTACTCTTGAGCAATCTGAGATCCAAACATGAAGTAATTAAGAAGTTTGTCTTGACTCACAAAATGAAGAAAGTCAGGAAAAATGCACCCCTTAGAAAACCCAAGTAATGCCCCACAGTTTCTGTCATATCAAAGCAGTTAATATGTTTTCAAATAGCAATGTCAATGACAGTAAGATTATTGAGGAACAGGTACACATAAGTACGGTGGAACCTTGGTTTTCGTTTGCCCTGGTTTTCGTCGAATTTGGTGTCTGATGACTTTTTTCATCAAAATATTGTCCAAGTTTTCATTCATCACCTTGGTTTTTGGTCTGCCATATGGAATGTGTCCACGTGCCTACGCCCACACAAAGCATCCCACACACGCATTCTGAGTCTGGCTTTGTTTCTTGTTGAGTGAACATTACCCTGCACGTTCATACAAAACATTTCATAATAATTGATTGTTTTTGTGATTGTTTATTGAGTGTGTTAAATAAGCCACCATGGGGCCAACGAAAGTTCTGAGTGCCAGCCCTTTGATAAAGAAGGTGAGAAACACGACAGAATTCAAGAAAGAACTTGTAGAATGAGTTGCAAAGTTTTGTGGAGAAATATCACTACCACCCTCTACAAAGGTAGAGGGTGGTAGTGATTGTTATAGAAGGTGGTAGAGATTGTGGTAGAGGGTGGTAGTGATGGTGGTAGAGGGTGGCAGTGATGGTGGTAGAGGATGGTAGTGATGGTGGTAGAGGATGGTAGTGATGGTGGTAGTGGTTGTGATGGTGGCAGAGGGTGGTAGTGGTTGTGATGGTGGTAGTGACGGTGGTAGAGGGTGGTAGTGATGGTGGTAAAGGGTAGTAGTGATGGTGGTAGAGGGTGGTGGTGGTGGTAGAGGGTGGTGGTGGTGGTAGATGGTGGTAGTGATGGCAAACAATCGAAGATGGTGAGTTGTTGCTGTTGTTGGTGTGGATCAACAAAAAACAGTTAGCGACAGATAGTGTTGTGGAGGCGATAATTTGCAAAAAGGCAAGGCACATGAATCTTGTAAAGAATATGCCAACAAAAGTCTTCAATAAAGGTAAAATTTATTTAAATGTTCATTTATCCATTAAAATTAGTGCTTTATATTTATTTCTCATTATTTTCTGTATGTATAACTTCAGTTATTCTCCATAAAATGTATTTTTTGTTTATATTTTTGGGTGTTTGGAACGCATTAATTGGATTTACATTATTTCTTATGGGAAACCTTGCTTTAGTTTTCATCGAATTTGGTTTCTGTCAGACTCTCTGGAACGAATTAAAAATGAAGGTTCCACTGTACACTGTTAATAAGTCAAGTATGGTTATACTGCAGGCTCAAAGTACACCAAGAATAAAATACATCGGATAATAAACAACAAAACACATTATTATCGTGGGAGGTGCCAAACCTGTAGGGATTATACAGTGCCTGTGGGAGGGTAGGGATGGAAGACATTCAGGGAACTGGAACACATATCGAATTCCCTAGATCAAGAGCCCCGCACCAGCATCAAGGAACCTCCCTTAAGGAGACGAAACACAATGTTTAGGGTAGTGCCATCTCTTAAGAGCATCCATCACTGGGCATAAACACCTGCATGACAGGTGTCTTTCCACTCATAAATACCTGCATGACAGGAGTCTTGCCAGACAGCAAACACCTGCATGACAGGTGTCTTTCCACTCATCATAAACACATGCTTGAAAAGCCTTACCAATCAAACACCTGAGTGACAGGTGTCTTGCCGCTCATAAATACCTGCATGACAGGAATCTTGCCAGATAGCAAACACCTGGAGACTCAATTTAAACATCTGCATGACAGGTGTCTTACCACTCAATATAAACACCTGCATGACAGCTGTCTTGCCACTCAATATAAACACCTGCATGACAAATGTCTTGCCACTCAATATAATTAACACCTGCATGACATGTCTTGTCACTCAGTATAAACACCTGCATGACAGATGTCTTGCCACTCAACATAAAAACCTGCATGACAAATGTCTTGCCACTAAACATAAACACCTGCATGACAGATGTCTTACCACTCATTATAAACACCTGCATGACAGATGTCTTACCACTCAATATAAACACCTGCATGACAGATGTCTTACTAGACTCAGCTTAATAAAACAACAAATAAAAAAGTAATGAAACTATACAAGGAACTCCTCGGAAATAACAGCTGTCTAGGAAAAAAAAACACTTATGTTGTGACAGTTGTTGTTTATAGATGGCGCTGGCGGTGGCCACGACCCATTCTAGCGACCATCCTTACTTGTGACCTACCACACCCAGCGACCATCCTTACTAGTGACCTACCACCCCCAGCGACTATCCTTACTAGTGACCTACCACACCCAGCGATTATCCTTACTAGTGACCTACCACACCCAGCGACCATCCTTACTAATGACCCACCATACCCAACAGCTACCCTTACTAGTGACTCACCGTACCCAGCAACTATCCTTACTAGTAACCCACCATACCCAACAACCATCCTTACTAGTGACCCACTATCCTTACTAGTGACCCACCATACCCAACAGTTATCCTTACTAGTGACCCACCATCCCTAACAACCATCCTTACTAGTGACCCACCATCCCTAACTATCCTTACTAGTGACCCACCATACCCAACAGTTATCCTTACTAGTGACCCATCCCTAACAACCATCCTTACTAGTGACCCACCATACCCAAGTTATCCTTACTAGTGACCCACCATACCCAACAGTTATCCTTACTAGTGACCCACCATCCCTAACAACTATCCTTACTAGTGACCCACCATATCCAACAGTTATCCTTACTAGTGACCCACCATCCCTAACAACTATCCTTACTAGTGACCCACCATACCCAACAGTTATCCTTACTAGTGACCCACCATACCCAACAGTTATCCTTACTAGTGACCCACCATCCCTAACAACTATCCTTACTAGTGACCCACCATCCCTAACAACTATCCTTACTAGTGACCCACCATACCTAGCAACTATCCTTACTAGTGACCCACCATCCCTAACAACTATCCTTACTAGTGACCCACCATACCTAGCAACTATCCTTACTAGTGACCCACCATCCCTAACAACTATCCTTACTAGTGACCCACCATCCCTAACAACTATCCTTACTAGTGACCCACCATACCCAACAGTTATCCTTACTAGTGACCCACCATCCCTAACAACTATCCTTACTAGTGACCCACCAACAAAAGGCTGCAGTTAGAATGATAACAAATTCTCACTACAGGCAACACACTCCACCAATATTCAAAACACTCAACCTACTCACCATACAAAACATCCATACCTATTATTGCACCTATTACATACATAGAACACTTAACTCTGATATTAACCCTCCCCTCAAACATCTCCTTGCCAACCTCAACAGAACACATGACCATAACACAAGGCACAGATCACTCTTTGATGTTCCTCGTGTCCATCTCACGCTATGCAAAAACTCAATGCACATAAAAGGCCCTAAAATCTGGAATTCATTACCTGTTAATATAAAAGAAACACTACCTGTTTATAAATTCAAGTCTCTTCTCAAAGATCACTTACTCACTCAAAACCAAATAAATACTGAATAACTGAACCTTATAAATTGTATATCCTATATGTTACTCACAATTATATCACATAAATGTTAAACCTAGGACCCAATCTAACTTTGTTATTTTTTTAAATACACTACCTAACAGAATACTCCATTCTACTGAATGTACAGCAATGCATGCAACCATATGATCTGTCTTTGTAATACTCATTTGTGCTTTATAGTTATCTGTTTACAATAATGTCTTATCACTGATTTCATCATTGCTTAGTTAACCTTAAGTTAATTTTAAGCCAGCCCGTAATGCTATGCATATAAGTGGCTTTGGCATGCTGCTCTTACCTGTATTTTTTTGTACCTCTGTATGTATGCTAAAATTACTAAATAAATAAATAAATAAATAAATGTTGAGGTACAGTCCCTGGACCCATTATGTGCCTCTGTAATAATGAGGTACAGTCTCTGGACCCAATATGTGCCTCTGTAATGTTGAGGTACAGTCCCTGGACCCATTATATGCCTCTGTAATGTTGAGGTGCAGTCCCTGGACCCATAATGTGCCTGTAATGCTGAGGTACATTCCCTAGACCCATGATGTGCCTGTAATGCTGAGGTACAGTCCCTGGACCCATTATGTGCCTCTGTAATGTTGAGGTGCAGTCCCTGGACCCAGGCCTGGTCACAGACCGGGCCGCGGGGGCGTTGACCCCCGGAACTCTCTTCAGGTAAACTCCAGGTTATTATGTACCTCTATCATCTTTTGACTACCTCCCACAGGATAGGTATGGAGTGTATAATACAGATATTAACTAACTCCGTCACATACGATAGTTGGTTTGCACACTCCACCACACAGTACGGTTTTCCCTATTGTAATCCATCACATATGAATGATGATTTTCCTGTCATACTCCATCACATACGATGGTTATACTTCTATAGTCCATCACACAAGATTGCGTTCCGGCCATGCTCCATCACACAAGATGGTCTAGTAAACCTCTACCATATGCCATCACACTTGAGGGTTTTACCTGGAGTTTACCTGGAGAGAGTTCCGGGGGTCAACGCCCCAGCGGCCCGGTCTGTGACCAGGCCTCCTGGTGGATCAGAGCCTGATCAACCAGGCTGTTACTGCTGGCTGCACGCAAACCAAAGTACGAGCCACAGCCCGGCTGATCAGGAACCGACTTTAGGTGCTTGTCCAGTGCCAACTTGAAGACTGCCAGGGGTCTGTTGGTAATCCCCCTTATGTATGCTGGGAGGCAGTTGAACAGTCTCGGGCCCCTGACACTTATTGTATGGTCTCTTAACGTGCTAGTGACACCCCTGTTTTTCATTGGGGGGATGTTGCATCGTCTGCCAAGTCTTTTGCTTTCGTAGTGAGTGATTTTCGTGTGCAAGTTCTCCTGCCATACTCTACACAGGATTATTTTCCTGTTATACTCCATCACACAGAATAGTTTCCCTGTCACATAAGAATAAGAATAAGAAGTTTATTTTGACATGATACATGGTTGTACAGAGGAATATAATAGTTGGGTGTACATGCCAAAAGACCCTTTGTATGCAAACATTTCGGGCAAACTTAAAAATGAGACTGATTTTCTTGCCATACTCCACACAGGATTATTTTCCTGTCATACTCCATCACACAAGGTAGTTTCCCTGCCACATAAGCTGGTTTTCTTGCTATCCTCTAAAACAAGGGACGGTTTTCCTACCATACACACTTATACAGTGTAGTTTTCCTGCTATAATCCATCATACAGAACAGTTTTCCTATCATAATCCATCACACAGGATAGTTTTTCCTGCTATAATCCGTCACACAGGATAGTTTCTCTGCTATAATCCATCACACAGGATAGTTTCTCTGCTATAATCCTTCACACAGGATAGTTTCTCTGCTATAATCCATCACGCAGGATAATTTCTCTGCTATAATCCATCACACAGGAGAGTTTCCTTGCTATAATCCATCGCACAGAATAGTTTCCCTGCTAGTTTCTCTGCTATAATCCATTACACATCATAGTTTCTCTGCTATAATCCATCATACAGAATGGTTTCCCTGCTATAATCAATCATACAGGATAGTTTCTCTGCTATAATCCATCATCCAGGACAGTTTTCCCTGCTATAATCCATCATACAGGATAGTTTCCCTGCTATAATCCATCATACAGGATAGTTTCCTGCTATAATCCACCATACTGCATAGTTTCCCTCCTTTAATCCATCATACAGGATAGTTTCCCTGATATAATCCATCATACAGGATAGTTTCCCTTACCTGGAGTTTACCTGGAGAGAGTTCCGGGGGTCAACGCCCCCGCGGCCCGGTCTGAGACCAGGCCTCCTGGTGGATCAGAGCCTAGTATAATCCACCATACAGTGTAGTTTCCCTGATATAATCCATCATACAGGATAGTTTCCCTAGTATAATCCACCATACAGTGTAGTTTCCCTGATATAATCCATCATACAGGATAGTTTCCCTAGTATAATCCACCATACAGTGTAGTTTCCCTGACTATAATCCATCACACATAGTTTACATAGATTTACACACAGTATATAACATGAGATATATGAATTACATATGGTTTAAAAAAGCTCTCAAAATAATTAATAACCTTCAAATAACCCAGACGAAAAAGTATATATGAATTAAATAAATAAAACCCAAAGCAAGGTTCTGTAAATAAGAAAATATGAATGAGTAAGATTTATCATTCATTTTTAGTACCCAAACATGTCAGCTATTTATTCTTAATATATCTGTTCAAGTATTTATATCATTATTTTAATTAGAAAGTGTATAATACATGAAGATAGGAAGAAAAAACACTCTGGTTGTCATTTATCATTGATGTGTAATGAAACATTTGCTTTTAGACATTAATGTAACATGAGGCATCTAATTTGAACGAAAATAATCTAAAGTATATGAATAAAGTGGAGATCTCCGAGGTAATATGCTCAAGGACCCCAGTGGAAATAAGTCACGTTGACTTTTTTGGGTTATCCTAGGTCATTTACACATATGTTACCATGTATGATAATTTGTGTAACTGTATTTATAGGTACCTGTACCTAAATAAACTTATATACTTATTGACTTACTAACATCCGAGATAATATGGGTCAGGCGGCGAGGTTGTTCGCCAGAAGCGTTCGCCGCCGCCGAGAAAACCAAAAAAAAAAAAAAGGTTTTAGGGGAGTAACTTCCTGTGAGGCGGCATAAGAGCGGCATAAGAGCGGCACACAGGAAGATGGCAGACTCCAGGGAACCACCTCCTCTCTTCAACGACGACGACGACTCTCATAAAGACGACGACAACGACGACTTGTTCACGTCAGCCGTACAGGTGAGTACTGGAGCACCAACAACCTGATGAGATTTCACTACCATTATTGTTGTTGCTTGATGGGGAGCCATAACTGATCCTCCTACCCCCCCATTGTTGCTTGATGGGGAGCCATAACTGATCCTCCCACCCCCCTATTGTTGCTTGATGGGGAGCCATAACTGATCCTTCCACCTCCCCATTGTTGCTTGATGGGGAGCCATAACTGATC